CATCTGAAATCTTAATACAAATGTCTGTGCAAATAAAATATTAAGGTATTCTAAAGTTGAAAATGGTATTTTAATTACCAAACAGCATTACTTAATTTTTGAAGCATCATCAATAATAAAAAAAAATTATATTAGTACCAATCTGAAGAAGAAATTTTAAAACAAGTTTAAGACTTCTACTCCCACTTGAAAATTGGCCTCATGTGCTGTATTAATCATATTGATTTGTCACTGTTTTTTAAACATTGAACTCAGTGATGTAAATTACAATACACTAAGCTTCTTGCTTATAAGACTAAAATTCAATAAATTGAGTTAGTTCAAAACTGGTGTCTAATTATACGTGTATCATGTGTATCGTGTGTCATGTGTTTATTTTCAGATACTTTTGGTATGATCGAGAAGGATAAGATTTTAATATTGTTTATATATGTCTTACAGAATATCATTTAATTTTAACAACTTATATATATAATTTTGAAATCATAATTATAAATCGCTTACATATATTTATACTTAATATTATATTTACTGAGTATCTTTTTTTAATATTACATGTATGATAAAATGAAATATAATGACTAAATCCAATATTAATCTGTATTTATTGGTTGTTAGAAACATAGATAATACTATACTGTGTAAGACAAACTAATAGGTAACTTACGTTTAAAGAAAGTCTTCAAAAATACAATATTTATTTTTATAGTTCGTGCTGAGTTAATTAACTCTTTTTTCCTCTACAGGTGGAAATGAAGCAACTCCAGAAAAGCTACAAAGCTTTAGCAGATCAGATGAACCTCATTTTATCCAAACGTTTATGGTACATCATGATAGAGCAGTTCTTGATGAAGTATGTTTGGAGCAGCAGTGGACTAATTATGGTGGCTGTACCTATTATCACTGCAACTGGCTTTGCAGATGGTGGTAATGGCATTTATGCTTAATCTCAAATATGTTTAAGATTATTTCTCTCGAAGGTATCACTGCTGATTTTGTGTGAGTGAAACTATGTATGTAGCCATTATTCTCTAGTTATTAATAGTCAGAAACAATGGCAGACTTTGCAGCATCCAATAAGACCAGCAATAGGAAAAGAGGACACAAGAGGTTCAAAAGACCTTTCCAGTTCTGAGATATTTCAGAGGTTGCTGATGTAGTGTTTCTGGGAGTTGACATTGAGCAATTTTAATTATACTGCCAAACATAGAATGAGTCTTTAGTTTAATATTTAAAGTCAAACAAGTCAATGCCTTTATAAAGAGTACAAGTTCTACCCAAACTTCAGTTCTGCACATCCAATGCATTCAGTCTAGAAACATCCTATAACTGGATCTGCCCTGATTTGTGATTTCAAAAGTTGGTTAACTGCATTAGGCAACTAAGAATATTGTTTCAGGGAGTGCTTCATGTCATGGAACAAGGTCTCCTCTACTTGCAGGTAATATACCGGTGGTGCCAAAAAAATGTATACAAATGGACACCTTGGTCAGTGTTGCTCAAACAGTAGTTCCCTGTAATCAGAAGTGTCTGGACGCTGATGGTAACCACTTTGAGCACCTGTTGTAATTGCAGAAGTCAAACGTGACTTTTACTCATCTTTTGTTACTGGAAAATATTGAGTATTACAATTTTAATAGTTTTTCCTTTCTTAAAATGTGTATACATTTTTTTTGGCACCCTCTATACGTAACCTCCTATGTAACATGATTTGGGGGTATTGTGAGGGTAGGGGTTGTCAAGTTGCAGGTATCTGATCCTGTCCGATCACCATCTCTGTGTCTTTTACCAGCATTTTCATACTTTGGAATAACTAAGAAAGATAAGGGCAAAAAGAACAATATTAAACGGTTGTGTAATACTTGAGGTGGGAGTTTGGCAGGGACAAGGGGGGATTAAATAAAGAAGCAGCGTTTTCTGCTCTCCTTCCACAACAAAACATCACCCCTCCTCTTTGAAAACCACTTGACCAGATTGGCCTTAGTGTTGAAGGCAAAGCAGGGGCTTTGTAGTGAGAAAGAGTTTTTCTCAACTTGACTACCCCTCTACCTGACTGTATACTCTTAGTCATGTTAAATAAATTCTCTAAACCTCAGCTTTCTCATCTATAAAATGAGAATCAAAAAAGGCTCCTTCAGAGGGTTGTTGTGAGACTTTAATAGAATAATGTTTATAAAATACAGAGCATGATATTCTTGATACATGGTGATGATTATTACATAGAAAACAAAAGGCAACACTAAGAATAATGTAACAGAATTCACACTATTTTGCAGTTAGTTTTGGTATAGAATTAAGGATTAATAGTTAATTTTTTNTCCTTCTCCCTCATCTCATTTTATAGCTTTTGGAAATCTCCCTGTCTTTTTGCCCTTCCCCTTGCGGTATCTATTGTACTAAAACCTTAGAGAATTGATGTACGTTCTGAAACTTCTGTGGGTTTCTAAGTGACGCTGAGCATGCTCAGTAGCTAGGGCAGGTTTTGTCGCCAGCAGCTTCCCTGATTCGACCTCTCCAAAAATAGACATTTAACTCTCTGAGCTCCTGTTTAAGGATGTAATTCGTTTTGCTCTCTCCTCATTTTCAAGGTTCACAGGCAAGCAGCGAGGATTCCAAGGTCCCACCGCCCTCACAGCCAATGAGGGGCTTGAGAGGGAGGAGCTTGGGGCGGCTCGGTGCAGCTTGAGCTTCTGAGGGAATCATCCCCAGTAGATGCAGTGGAGTCTGAGCTCTGCTGCTCCTGTCACAGCAGAACAAAATTCAAAACAAAACAAAAAGAAAAAGCAGAAGAGGAGAAACGCTGCAGAGTATGGAACGCTGTAGGTCTTTCTGAAACATTTACTGGGGATCCCCGTGGAGCATGAGCTTTTAAACAATTCTTTTTGAAGCCGGTTTGGGTAACTGGGAAAATGATACATATGCTAAATGCAGCAGCTGATCGAGTGAAATGGACCAGATCCAGTGCTGCTAAGAGGGCTGCCTGCCTGGTGGCTGCGGCATATGCTCTGAAAACCCTCTATCCCATCGTTAGCAAGCGTTTAAAGCCATCTGACCACAGGAAGAAAAAAGAAGCTTACCTGGCTGCAGGGAACAGAGAAGTACTGCATTGCACCGAGATTACTTGTAAAAAGGCTTCGCCTGGAGTGAATGCAGATTTTTTCAAACAGCTACTAGAACTTCGGAAAATCCTCTTTCCAAAACTTGTGACCACTGAAACAGGGTGGCTTTGCCTCCACTCGGTGGCTCTAATCTCCAGAACCTTTCTCTCTATCTATGTGGCTGGTCTGGATGGAAAAATTGTTAAAAGCATTGTGGAAAAGAAGCCTCGGACTTTCATCATCAAATTAATCAAGTGGCTTATGATTGCCATCCCTGCCACCTTTGTCAACAGTGCGATAAGGTACCTGGAGTGCAAATTGGCTTTGGCCTTCAGAACTCGCCTGGTAGACCATGCCTATGAGACCTATTTTACAAATCAAACTTATTATAAGGTTATCAACATGGATGGGAGGCTGGCAAACCCTGACCAGTCTCTTACTGAGGATATTATGATGTTCTCCCAATCTGTGGCTCACTTGTATTCCAACCTGACCAAACCAATTTTAGATGTAATCCTGACCTCCTATACACTCATCCAAACTGCTACATCCAGAGGTGCCAGCCCAATTGGGCCCACCCTATTAGCAGGGCTTGTGGTGTATGCCACTGCTAAAGTGTTGAAAGCCTGTTCTCCCAAATTTGGTAAATTGGTGGCTGAAGAAGCTCACAGAAAAGGCTATCTGCGGTATGTGCACTCCAGAATTATAGCCAATGTTGAAGAGATTGCCTTTTACAGAGGCCATAAGGTAAGAGAAATTAAGGTGATGGGTGAAATATGAGACTGTTCGAGTGGTAGATACCATCTGTTGTATTCTTGATGGACGCACTTCTTTAGCGTTTTAGA